GAAAATTATTTGTACATAGAACCATCCGCGTGGAATCACTAACATTGGAGACTAATAAATTTATCGTCACTATAATTATATGATACGTAACGATAATAGGATATTATGATAATAATATGATAGTATATATGATAATATGATAATATATATGATAATATGTAATACTATCACTCGGTATAATTGTTTGAAAGCGAAAATGTTAAATAAATAGATAAATAGTGGATAATAAATAGATGAATAGATAATGATAATGGACAAAATAATAAAATAATAAATGATAATGAAATGACAATGAATAACATTTATGATAAAGTGATTGATTACATTAGAATTTTAGAATTTCTTAGAATTTCTTAGAATTTATTCGAATTTATTAGAATTCGTGAAGAAGATAAAGAAATTAACAATTAACAATTAGAGACATAATGGTAGGTAGGGTGGGTAGGTAGGTGGGTGGGTACCTGATACGCACGTAACCTGATAATACGCTAATAATACGCTAATAATACGCTAATAATACGCTGACAATACGCACGTAACCTGACAATACTCACGTAACCTAACAATACTCACGTAACAGATACAGTAACAGGTAACAATATCGGTATTAAAAAAACAACATGCAAATAACATGATTGGCTCATTTAGTTGCCTCAATATAGATTATATAGATCATGCGTAAATGTATTAGTTATATTAATGGAAAGTAGATACTGTATATATAAAACGATGTATGGGTAAACCTGTAATAACAATCATCATCATGACACTAAATAAAGTGTGTGTGGTTCTACATGTATTTTTTTTTTCTACATAATGTATAATCTACATATACATACCGATACTGTATAAAATCTACATTTATAATCTACAGCTACGGATTATAGTATTACAAATTACAAATTTAGGGATTTTTATTTGCCGCATTTTTTTTTTTTTTATACGGAAACGAGTAAGCAATAAGTAAGCAATAAGTAAGTAAATGAGTACGTAGTAATAAGTACGTTATGCAGTAATACTGTAATAAATAGTAATGAGTGGTAATAAGTACGTGCTTTGCCGGATAAAATAAAGAAATATGTATAAATAAATAAAGTAAAAGATATTTATATAATTTGAAATATTTGAAATATATACTTTATTAATAAGTATTTTCTATTTCTGTTTCTACTTTTTCTACTATTTTCTATTTATCTGTATTAAATTTATGTTACAGTAAGGAATTTATATTGCGGGATCTACTATTGATTATACTAAAGGAATATAAAAAAGTAATTAAATTAATATATTTCGTATGAGATGAAAAAATTATATAAAACGACCAATTTCCATGAACTCATCTTTCTTCACCCAACAAAGAGGTGCGTGTCTTTTGTTCTCTCTTAAAAATATTCCACCCTTTGGTTTATCTTATAGGTTCTTAAATAAGTGATAGTAACAAATAGTTGAATTTCTTTTAACTACGGGATTTATATATCACTATTATAATATAAAAAAATACCAAAAACTCTAAACCAGATAAAAGTTTAAATCAAGGTTTTTTTTTTCTTTTACCCTTTATTTGAACCAATAAAATAAAAACAGACTGATTTTTCTTTTGTTGCCTAAAATCGTCAAAAAAACGTTCACATTTTATACGATCTAAACGAAAAACTTGATATAAATACGTAACGAATTTTACCCAAAAAACTTGTTGAACTTTGAAAATTTTTAATAAAGATACAATAAGTATCAAAGAAAAAAATATCACAGTATATCAAGCAGGAAAAACAGACTGGAAATACAGAAATATCGAACGAAGAATTTAAAAGAAAAATATCAGACAGACAAAATGAAAAATAACAGTATATTCTCACGTAACCGAAAAATTCATAATCCATTCAAGAAGAGAAATTCATCAAGCAAGTCACATTCACACAGTTTTCATCAACAAAATGTAATAAGTGCACTAGGCGGTATGCCACACGATTTTGATTTCGATTTTCAATCGGCGACAGAAACACCGACAGTCTGTTCCTCAAGACGAAGTTCTATTTACAGCATATCGTCAATACAAAGTCAAAGTATAGGCCCGATTCATAGTGTGTACACATATTATCCGACACATCATTATAATATGGCAACCGAAAAGCATCATCATCACCATCATAAGAATCAATGTTGCCATAACGTAAATTGTAAGAAGGCAAAGAAAGAAAAACGAAATAGTTCGGATTCTTATAACCCCAGACAAAGCTTTATAGGATTCAAACTTTGGTTTCGATTAACCATGGTGAAAGTCAGAAGAACTTTTCGTTAATTCTACAATATTAAAACAACAAATAAACATCATCAACACATTCACTCAGAAGATATGAGATTAGTTAGTAATCTTGATGATTACGATTATTCTTTTAAGAAATTGATCGATGTTTCCTTCGGACAATAATTTTTTGCCGAATTATACATATAAATATATACATAGTTTTTTTAAATATTATATAATTTTTTTTCTTTCAAGTATACATAAGTAACAATCAGCGGGTTTTTGGTACTCACGCATATATTAGACTATTAATTGTTAATTCAAGTTTAATTATTTTTTTTTGACGCGGTGTCAAAAAAAAAAAACCAACCTACATATATATATATATACGGTCATATGGTACCTATAATCTATATTAATCCTATCACGAACTTGAAGCAACTATAGGGAATAGACAAAAAAACGCACGACTCAGACTTTCGATAAGACGACTCAACGAGAAAGAAAAATAGCATATAGAATTTTTTTTATATATATAATTCTTTATATTCTTGTATATAGTCGCATTTTTTTTTCTTCTTTTGATTAAGAGTTGAGGATAACCACCGGATTGGTTATTCAATCAACAACTCTTGTTCCTCTATATTCCAACTATATACAATCCTTTTTTTTATATCAAATCGATTTTTATCCTTGTTTCTATCCTTGGCCACTTTCCTGGTTCAAACAAGGCACAAACACAAACATCGTTCCTATTTCGATAAATACGTTTACATTCGACGAAATCACAAACACAAACAAAAAAATTTCTTATGAATTCATTGGTTTTCTTTCTCTTTTCGCGTTTTTTCTTAAAAAAAAATCATTTATTATTAGAGATAGATTGTAAATATTAACTTTTCTAGACGTTTTAATTCTTTTCACGCATAAATTGGAATTTGATTTTTTATTTTAAAGATCAAAAAACCAAATCATATTTTCATGAACCTCATCCATCCATTCATTTAGGACAATCAAAGTTTAGGTTTACAATCCGTTTTCACAATACATTACATACACACATTTACATTACGTAATATAGAAAATATGTATTATATGAATATGAAAAAAGCTGTGCTTTTTTCATATAATAGATATTATTAGCATTATAGTAAATAATTTCGCATTTATTAGACATTTTTTTTTTTTCTTTTCTACCACTTTTCAATTTTATAGATCACTAAACTCATTATAAAGCATTTTTTTTTCTCATCAAATCATCATCATCATCATCATCATTTTTTTTTTAAGCTGATTGTTACGATCATTTCATAAAATCTTTTATACATTTTAAAACAATAAATTTTAATTTCACATTTCCGCATTTCACGCACGAAAAATTATGAACCAAAGTTTTTTTTTTTTTTTTTCCTTTTTAATTGTATAATATTGTATTTTTTTGAAATTATGAAAAAATATAACATATATAAAAAAAATTTATCAAAGTGAAATTAATATGTGAAGTTAGTGTGAAGCTACTGTGTGAAGCTAATGTGTAAAGTTAGTGTGAAGCTAATGTGTAAAGTTAGTGTGAAGCTAGTGTGTAAAGTTAGTGTGAAGCTAGTGTGAAGTTAGCGTGAAGCTAGTGTGTGAAGCTAGTGAGTTAGTGTGTGTAGTACGCGTATGCACTATTTTCGGCTTGTTTCGAAACTAATACGGCTTATGCCGTAACTGGTTTGTATAAGCCGAAATAGTTTCGACAACATTTATAAAATTGATATCGACATGCATTTGAACACGTTCATCTGTAGTCCACTCATATTCAATGTATTAAATGTATTCAATGTATTCAATGTAATTCATATAATTCAATGTAATTCATATAATTCAATGTAATTCATATAATTCAATGTATAATTCATATAATTCAATGTATAATTCATATAATTCAATGTAATTCATATAATTCAATGTATTTCAATGTATTCAATGTTATTCAATGTGTTAATGTTTTCATCTGTCATAAAATAAAGACAATCGTGAGAAAAATTATTACTATAATTTAGTTAACGCGACACGTTTTCTTTTTTTTTTTTTAGCACGATTTTTTTCAACATGATCTTTTCAACATGATTTTTTTTCAACATGATTTTTTTTTCAACATGATAATTTCAAGTAGTCCACATGTTAATGATCTTCATTTATAATAAAACAACTTGAACCAAAGAATTAAAAAGTATTTAATGCACATGATTACACAAATAAATCATGTTTATTTTCTGTGTACACCCACACCTTATTTCTTATACGTACATTTTTTTTACAAAGAAAATAATGTATAGGTAACAACAATTTAAAAAATATATATAATTAAAAATATAATTAAAAATATGATTTATAATGACCGTTAATTATAATACTAATTAGCGAAGGAAACAATTTCTGTGATCGATTGTTAATAGTAGTTTATTATTATTATTATTATTATTATTATTATTATTATCTTCAAGAATTTTTGAAAAAAAACCAATCAAATTTTTTTTAAGCCAATCAATTTTATTTGTGTGATAATTAAATTTAATTATTTTCAATGAAAACCAATTAAATTATAAAGTGAAATTAAACACCGAAAATAGCCGAAAGGACAATGTTTGTTAGTAGTTGTTTAGGAGAATCTTTTCATTTCATTATGATTCGCTCCTAATGTCTACCAATGTCTACTAATGTCTACTAATGTCCACCAATGTCTACTAATGTCTACTAATGTCTACCACCAATGCCGACTAATGCCGACCAATGTCGACCAATGTCTAAAGATTCACATAATACACAATGTTCAACAATTCACGTTTAATGATTCACGTTTAAAGATTCACGTTTAAAAGATTCGCGTTTAAGTTTCGCATTTTTTAATAATAAATTAATTTTAGAAACAATATAACAATAACGATAATACAATAATACAGTAATATAATAATGAATAATGATAGTATAATGATAATAATTATATATCGATATAGTATAATAACGATTATATAATTAAAATACGTACGTATGAACTTTTTTTTACACACTATCGTTTATTAGGTTCATTATTAGAAATATCGGGAATTTTCTTTGATTCTATTCTGTATGTCTATGTCTGTATAATCAAATCCGGTAATATTCGTTCTTTGTATTAATTGTTAAAAAAAAAAAAATTATTTATTTATTTTATTCTTTTATTTATTTTAAACTTCAAAAGATAAATGTAGTCTGTAACTCGTGCATCGCTTCATATGAAAGTTAATAGATCCCCTCAATTGTTAATTTGACACCTGCGCATCAATTTTTTTTTTAAGCATATCTGATTTTACCGGTTAAGGAGTCGTTTATCAAAGGAGACTTTTTGTATAAAGAGATAGAGTTATGATTATGAAAGATCCCTTTTTTAAACAATTAAGAATAACCTCCTTAATTGTTATAAAAGCTTTTACATGTTGTTTCTTTTCTATAAAAGAGTTAGCAAAAAAAATTTTTTTTCTTTGAAAATTTCTCACGAAAACCGTATGATTTACACATGTTCTAAACCTCATGGAGATTTAAAATACTTGATTTCTTGTTAAAGATATTATTTTTTGTTTGAATAAGAATGAATAAAAAATGAATAAAAAAAATGAATAAAAAGATCGAAAAAGGAAAATTCGACACGATCTTTTTGGTACGTAAATCTTTTTAGTAAATCTATTAGTAAAATCTATTTCTTCTATTTGGTAAAATCTATTTCTTCTATCTACGTAGTAAAATCTATTTCTTCTATTTAGTAGTAAAATCTATTTCTTCTATTTAGTAGTAAATCTCTTAAACCGCAGCATTATTATAAACTATTAGGTAATTATTCCATAATTAGAATCTTATATGCATCTTTTTTTTTCGACATATATAGAAATACGGATTCTTTTGTCTTGTATCAGATTTTTTTTTTTTCCACCACAAAACTTTTTTTTGCTCACGTAATAAATTTCAAGTTTTTTTTTTTTTGTTTCAAAATCCTTTAATATATAAAATTAAATAAATTTAATTTACTGGTTAAACTGTATCATAATAAACCGGTTTTTCAATCAACAAGGGTGAGTTTCAATTTCCTGTATGAGTTGTTAAAGTGTTAAAGTTTGTTTTTTTGGCGAGTACTTGGCGTAATAAAAAAAAAAGAATTTAAAAAGAATTTGGAATAAATTTTTTGCCACACTTAGAATTCTGAATAATTATTATTGTTTAATTAATTATATATAAGGATTAATAATATATAAGAATTAATTATATATAAGGATTAATTATATATAAGGATTAATCATATATAAGGATTATAAAGGTATAAAATTTATAAATAGAAAATATATACATATGTAGAAATCAGAAAAAATATTCCGCAGAATTGTTCTATCGGAGTGGAAAATCTTAACATCCGACCTATGTAAGTACCAACGGGATTTCAACATCCGATTTTAGTTTTCATATACTGTACGTACGTAATCATAAATCCATAACGATAAAGATAATAAATCGATAAATCTATAAATCCGTAATAATAATAATAATAATAATTAACGATATGACGTATAACTTATAACGATAACGATAAGGATAACAATAAGGATAACGATAACGATAATGATTTAATGATGATAAGGATAACGATAACGATAAATAACAGTAAGTTTTATTATGACTACTAATTCATTCCGTTTTTCATTCGTAGAAAATAATTTTTGTCGATGAATTGATCATTTATTTAGAAATTCGTAGAAAAACTTTTTGTCGATGAATTGATCATTTATTTAGAAATTTTATATACGCAGAATTCGGTTGTATCGGTCATGAACGACAAAACGATAATCAAATACGTATAATCAAACCCTTGTTCGGAATCTCCATCGTACGTACGTATTTAACTATAATCGAATAACGTAAACAAAAGATTTACTTAAAATGAAAATGTAATACGTAATTTCACGATTTTCTAAATATAATTTATCTTTTGGTATATCATATTCTGAAATAAACCTACCATTTAAAATAAACCTAAGTACATAAACACATACATACATACATACATACATACATACATACATACGTACGTATGTAGTTACGTATCTGGTATATATGTATGAATAACAAATTAGTGTTAAAAAAGAAAAAACGCCACAGTTCTCCATTTTCAAATCAACTATTTGCGTACGTCCGTTCGTTGTATATACATAAATAGCTATCATTCAATGTCATATGAGCAATATCAAACACGCAATATTATATCATGCTTTTATAATAAAAAAGCAATGAATTTTCTTTGACAAATGATAATCAATACTTTATCTTATCAAAAAAGATCCTACAATCTTGGATTACAATCCCAAGATTTTCCTACGATCTTCTTACAATCTTGGATTACAAATAGATACATGATGACGCCATATAACAGTATCAAGCTCTCTCATCTTAATAAAGATTTTTCATAATATGCGATCTAGACCCAGTTTTTTCTTTAATATCTTCTTTCGTAGTTCATCTAATTAATTTGATCCCCAAAAACTAGTGTTAAATCTGGTACATACATTCTTTCATTATTACCAAATGGTCTTAATTCTGGTCCAGAATCAGGTTAATTGTGGCGTTTTAAACTAAAAAATTCTTATAGATTACATGAAATTACATAAAAAAAATATCGTTACGTACGTACGTACTTAAAAAAAAAAAAAATTTATTGTTATGTATTCTAAAAAAAAAAAAAAACATTTGATCTAAAAAAGTTATGTCCACATGCACGAACAGCCACACTATTTGGTGATCTTTTATGGTTTTGTACATTTTGTGTACTGATAAGCTATCTAAGATTATTAAGAAACTAGATAATAACAGGTCTAATGTCAAAATGTTTATAAAAACGTAATTCATAAATAAATAAATAACGACAAATGAAAATGAAAAAAAAAAGATTGATAAAAAAAAGATGTCGATATACAACCCACCGTTACGTACGTACGTACGTACGTACTTACGTACGTGCGTATACACGTAAATCAACTTTTATTTTAATCAATATAAAGGAATTACTTCAATTCCTTATATAATTATTAAATGATTTTTTTTACATTATTATCCGGCTCAAATGATACCAAATTCTACTAACAAAAGTACTACTTATGTAAATATGACCCGAAAAACATGATATTATCTAAATCAGGTAAATTTATGAGTTCACATGGATCAATTTTCTTACTAAATATGGTCATACTATTATCATGAAATAGAATTCCAGTAAAACGCAGTAAAACAAAGTAATTTGATTCTTTTCTTTCAGCGGATAGTTTCTCTTTTAAATTCCGCATGCAGATTTGAAATAGGTTTGATTCTTTTCTTTCGGTAAATAGATTCTCTTTAATTCCGATGTAATTCCGATGCATATTTAAAATATATTATACATAATATATATATATATTTATATATACATATATACTGTATAATAAACTGTTAATTGTTAACAGTTAAATTGTTTAAATTGTTTAAATTTATACATATATACGTACGTATTTTGTACTTCTTATTGTCTTGTATACATCAAATTCCTGAGTCCGATTGAAGTTTATCAAAATATAGTTTAAATTTTTTTTTTTTTTTTACAAATAAAAACCTTATTTTTACTAAATTCAAAGTTTTTTTACATTGATCAAATGAACCTTATCGTAGAAAATTTTAATATGGAAATTTGATGTGAGGTCAATACTTTATTAATGTTAATAACCTAATTTCATATCGTATTATTACATTATTACTGTATTACTGTATTAACTACCATTTATTCTCATTTATTCTCATTTATTCTCATTTATTCCATTATTCACTCAATTACCCGTTACTTTATTCATTCAATTATCTACATATTCATTCCATTACTCCATTTACTTCATTTATTGACTTTATTAACTTAAAATCGAATTTTAATTATATGAATCGGTTTTTTTAAAATCCTTTTAAAGCACGACGTACGTACAGTACATGTGTACCCACTTACGTATGTACATGGTTAAGTATAATATTAAATCTTTTACATACATACAGATAGATACGTAATTAATTTGCAGAAAATCATGATGTACCATAAACAATAAACTATTGTTTGACATTCCGAAATTTTAATAACCTAAAAAATATATCTATATGAATGATGAATGTATATGATTAACATATTATACAAACTTTTTTTGGCCTAATTTTTCTAATGCTGGTAAATCAATTTATGTAGATCTTTAAGGAATTAAATTTCATGTTTCGATCCTGTGAAACATTATGATTCTTTTTAATACCAAATCAAGTTTTGATATTCATTGACAATTTGTCATTGCTTTTTTTGTGTCATTACTTTTCGGTTATAAATTACATAATGCATTTTCTAATAATGCTGTAACAAAACTACACGAATTATATCCTATATCCGTTGTCACTTTATTCATTATATAATACGTGTAAAAAATTAATTGTTGTAATCCATGTAAAAAATTAATTGTCTAGTTTCTTGTTGTAACCTTTCGGTTTATCTCAAGTCACATTCGCTTATCTATTACATGTTCTTATTTAACAAATTAAGACTTTTAAAATTGACAATAATTTATTCATTATTTTGATTTGTCTTATTATAAAAAAAAATTCATCCCAGAAACTTTCAAATGGATCTCATGTAACTCTGCTAATATATTTAGCATTAATTGGTTTTTTATTATGATCGGTGTTTGGTTTTATATATTCTCATGTTAAAACTATATGGTTTTATGTAATTTGGTAAAAATAAAAAAAAATAATAATAATAAAAATAACTTTTATATATACTTAGTAGGTTAAGTATACTATCTTTTTTTAGATTAACGCAGAAAAAAAAATTTTAAAATTAAATAAGAAAAAGAAAAGTAATCCGTTATCGGATGTTTCGCATCTGTATCTGACTTCGAATTTAATGTGCAAACTTGGGTTTTAAAGAGGCTCAGGTTGTAAAGCACATTAAATTCAATGCCAGATACTTCTTTTATTTGTTATCTAAAATGATTACCCGTGATCCACAAGATCATAGTGTTCTCATTTCTTCTTCTAAATAATGTATAGTTACTGAATATGTAGCATTCAAATAACTATATATAATATTTTAATATAATTTAATGCATGTGTATTTTGTATTATAATGCGCCTATTTAATAACCAATTAAATTATATAATTAGATATAATATAAATTTTAAAAAAAATTATTTGTAGATTATAATTATATTTTAACAAAAAAATTTTTATTAAACTATAACAAAAAAACCTTTAAATTAAATGTATATTTAATACATTACTTATTACAATATCTTAACTCTTATATTTAAAGTTTTTTTTTTAATATTAATTGCATTATATATAATTAATATAAAGTCAAATATATTGATTAATATATTCAAACTTATTATTATTATTATTATTATTATTATTTTTAAATTAAAGTTTTTGCCTTTGGGGATCAATGTTTTTATTCAAGTATTTGACACAGATGTCTTCAGAAGCTTCTATACATAGGAGATTACAACTAGTTACACATACAATTTTGATACTTAATTTAAGTAATTTACTTATACATTACTATACAGGTTCTATACTAAATACCATACCTGCAAACCAATTATAGGTCTTACCTATTTAAATCTTCTGCATATGTAGTCTAACTTGTAATTACAAAAATATCTTTTAGGTTATATTCATTCAAAGTACTTGATGCCTTCAAGATCCTTAAAACTAATTTATCCTTAACAAAAAACTTACTAGAATCTTCTATGTTCTATATACAGTTAATCAAATTTTATACAACATATTATAATTACCTAACATTTGCAATTACAAAAGTTATTTGTTTAACTATTATGTTATACTATTTCTATCTTTGTAAAGTTTACTAGAACCTTAATATCTATTATTATAATGTCTTCTTTATCTTCTCTTACTAATTGCTATTTAGAACTAACAAACTTTTTTAACTTCTAATTCAGATAATCTGATATGGTATATATATGTATTCTTTTTCTCTGATAATTTTAGTAGTTTAGTTGATTATATTTTTTTTATACATTTTGTTATCTGGTTTATTTGTTTACCTTTTTGGAGATGTTTTATAGGTTTTTATTAGTTTGATTTACTATTAAAAATTTATTCTATCTCTTTACTTAAAAATTTCCAAATAGGTTTCTGACTCTTTAGTTCTTTAATTTATTGTGTCTGGTAGTCTTATCATAGGTTTGCACTAAGGTTTTATATGACATCAATTATTAACATTTCTCTATATATATATAATATTACATTTTATATAAATGTCCTAAACTTTTATTTAAGATAGTATGATTTAAAGTTACAAATACACCAATTTAACTAATTGTCAAGAGACAGTTTGTTATAATACAAGTTAATTTTTAAATTTTATTATAAGTAGAATTTGAACCTTAGACCTGTTACTTAGAAAATAATAACTTAATTACTACACTAAAATCATTATTCTTTCAAACTTATTATTTTTTAATTCTACTATTACTATTATTATTATATTTTTTTCTTTACTTAGATAGTTATATTATTAAATTTTTATTAAAAAATAATCATTATATTAAGTAAATATTGTTTAAATTTTAGTTATCTTATTTTGTAGTTATATGTTTATTTATGTTTATTTTTATAGATCTTATAAGCAATTTGCTAATATTAGTTATATAATATTAATATATTATAATAATTAAAATTTATTTAATCAATGTTTTATAATAAAATATTACTAATTTAATAATATTTTTTTATAAAAAAAGTAAGAACAAGAAAAAAAATAAGAAATTAAAAACTAAAAAATAGAAATTAGGTTTTATAGCTTAATGATAAAGCTACTAAATTTCTACAAACTAGGTCAATAGTTTAAATTAAACTAGAAGCAAAAATTCTAGAATTTTAATTTTTTAATTTAAAATCAAAATCAAATTGAATACAAAACTTTATAAAAAGTTTTAAAATAAAGTATAAAAATGAATTAAAAATTTCTAAAAAAAAATTAATTTTATAAAAAAAAAGAACTATATAAAATAATAATATTATAAAAGATTTAGCTACACAATAGTATTATGCAAATAAGGTTTTAAAAAACAAATAATACTAATATTTCTATATTTAATTTACAAAGTACTTGATTAAGAAGATAATATAAAATAACCAAAACTGAAATTATAAGCAATGTAATACATATTAAGAAAATTTGTAGCAAAGAATTAGTTTAACCAAAATTGAAATATCTTAAATGAATATTAATAAAAATATTATATAAAAATTAATATCTAAAATAATTATTTATTATAACTTAGATAATAAATATCATATTTTTATATAATAAATCAAGATTTCAAACTTTTTT